TTTCGTCGAGCAGCCGCACGCATTCGAAGAAAATGATGGCGCCGTGTGCCTCCTCTAAAAATCCCTCTACGGAATCAAGCAGACGCCTCGTCTTTGGCAGCAGTACCTCCATTCCGTCCTCCTTGAGCTCGGCTTCACTCAGCTGCCGCACGACCTCGGAATGTACAGGCGATAATCGCGCGGGAAATTCATACTCCTCGTTGCCTACGTCGACGACCTCCTCTACACCGGCGACGACACGGAGCTGCTGGACCAGTTTGAGGCCGACATCAAAGAGAAACTGGAAGTGACAATCAATCACAATGTCACCCAGTTTCTCGGCCTCAATGTGACTCAGTCCGCCTCCTCCATTCACCTCTCCGCCGCCAAGTACGCCGAAACACTCGCGAAGCGCTTCTCCATCGCACCAATCAACCTCACTACCCCCTATCGCACTCCTCCTCCTAACCACGAGCCAGACACCATACCACTCTCTCCCGACAACCATCGTCTCTATCAGCAGCAGCTGGGATGTCTACTGTTCGCCGCCGTCACGTGCCGGCCCGATCTCTCCTACGTCGCAAGCCAGCTCGCACAGTACCTGAAGCGACCTGAAGGGAGAATCTACTGGATCTACGCCGAGCACTACAGTACTTCATCTCCACTCCCGACGTCGGTCTCACCTACGAAGCTAACCTCGCCGCTACTCTACAGCTCCATGGCTACGTAGATGCCGACCACGCTGGAGATGTTGACAACAGACGCTCCCGCACAGGATTCATTTTTCAACTCCAACCTGCTGGACTCATCTCCTGGAACTCTCAAAAGCAGGAACTTATCGCTCTCTCGTCAGCAGAAGCAGAATTCATCGCAGCTAGCGCAGCTGTTCGCGAAGGACTGTACCTGGTGGAGCTCTTGCAAGAGTCGAAAGTGACGATGAACGGGCACTTCACGTTACTCTGTGACAATCAGAGCGCGATAAAGATCGCGAACAAGCCCGGCTTCGTCAATCGCACCAAGCACATCGCCCTTCGCTACTTCTTCGTGTAGGATGAAATCGACAAGGGGAAAGTCAAGCTGACGTACTGCCCGACCGGTGACATGGCAGCTGATTTCTTGACGAAGAAGCTGCCACGTCAGCAGTACCAACGCTACGCCGACCTCTGCGGGATCACCAAGAAATCCCACGCGGCCCACCTTCAGGAATGAAGGGGAGTGTTGGAATAACCGAAATGTTATATAAAGCATTCCCGAAGCTGTTCCACTGTACCAGTACCGCAATAGCTCATATAGAGCATGTGGAATGTTGAGGGTCACCTGAAGGTCAACCGTCTGAGGAAGTCAACGGTCGTGACCCTTGATAATCCAGTAACCGTGCGACAGTTTATCCACTGCAACATGGTAACTGTTGAGGATAGCAATAGTCACGGTTACTGTAGCTATACAGTTAATAAGGGAATGTACCCCTCAGAGTACATGGCTAGCTAGATTTCTACTTAATCTCTTGTACTCTTATCTTTCAATCATCTTGTTCTTCAATTATTATTCAACAAGGTCACTACAGAGACTTCATTGTCTCCTCTCAGACTTAACAGATTCTATCCTATCCACTGGATCCTTGGTTAGATCAGGAATATTTTCTGTTAATAAACTTGTGTACCTCATGTAAATGTGTCATTTCGTGCACACATATGACATGAATAGATTTCGAGAAGGTATCTGATTGTATATACTTACATATCTTGAAATCGATACAAATTAATTGCGCATTTTTTGCAGACGCGTATCGAAATGTGCGGTGCGTGAGAATACTAGGTGCGCAATTATTGCTCGGCCGCAAATTTCGGGCAACTCCTGAAAAGTGATGATGGAGTGAACCACCTCTCTACCACTCCTGACCGTTAAAAAACGCTCGTACCATTTTCTTCGATCTCACTCCCACAACCCGCAGGTTCTCATGTTTCATAATTACGAACTGCCATTACTGTGAGCAGAGCATAAACTTGGGTGGCCCAAGTTCCCGAGTGATCCCCGCCGCATCCAACGCTATGAGGCCCAGAAAACGACTTAGGCGCTACGAGAAGCATCATGGGGTGGGATCGCCTCATCTGATGTCGAGCCGCAACATTACAGCGAAGTCTGCAATCGGCAAACATGGTTGGCATATTTAACGCGGAGTGAGTTGGAAACAACTCATTCACATGAGTACTACTTCTAGCAGTAAATCTAATTCAGTACAACCTTCCACAGAGCTTCTTCCTCAGCTACACTGATAGCAACAGCCAACATCATGGGTACGCCTCGCCCTCGTTTTCTGCTCACCCTTGTCCTCGTGGCTTCTCTGAACCTCCTCGCGGTTTTCGCGGCGCTCCCTCCGGATGGTTACTTAGACGCGAGCGAGCCCGCACTCGAGCAAGCATACGACCCGCGCGCGCTCCTCGTGGCTGACAGCGATGCCTCACTCGAATCCGTCACGGAGTCCGTTGACTCGATTGACTCCGTTGACTTCGAGGAGTCGGAGGACCCGCGGGTGCTTCTCGCGATGGGCGACGTAGCGGCGGACTTGAAGCAGACGTCGGACGTCGCGAGCGGCACGGTGAAGAAAGCCATTGGGCAGGCAGGGAGGAACGTGCGCAACTCGGTCGGGTCCATGATGGGGGTCGCGCCCAAGAAGGGCAAGAAGAAGCACCGCCGCCACCGCCACCGCGGGGGAAAGAAAACTGGGACGGCGGGAGCTGGTAAGCGCAACTCGGGCGCAGCTCCCAAGGTATCCGCTGCCGGTAAGCGCAAATCGGGCGCGGCAGCCCCCAAGACGCCCGCCGCTCCTGCTGCTGGCGCGAAGGGGGTTCCGAAGAAGCAGGCGGGAAGCAACCCGGACGCAGCATCCAAGCCGTCCGCGGCTCCCGCTGCTGGCGCGGCAGCCGTCCCGAAGCAGGAGGCGGGAGCAAAGGACACCTCGGGAGCAGCCCCCAAGGCCCCCGCTGCTGCAAGCGAGCCACGCGCACTCCTCGAGGCGGCCGACAGCGATGCGGCCTTGATTGACTCCGTTGACTTTGCCTCCGTTGACTCCGTTGACTCGGAGGACTCGCGGATGCTTCTCACGATGGGGAACGCAGCGGCGGACCTGAAGCAGTTGTCGGATGACGCCAGCGGCGCCGTGAAAAACGCTCTCGGGCAGGCGGGGAGGAAGGTGCGCAACTCGGTCGGGTCCATGATGGGAGTCCCGCCCAAGAAGGGCAAGAAGAAGCACCGCCGCCACCGCCACCGCGGGGGAAGGAAAACTGGGCCGGCGGGAGCTGGAAAGCGCAACTCAGGCGCAGCTCCCAAGGCGCCCGCTGCTGGTAAGCGCAACTCGGGTGCGGCAGCCCCCAAGACGCCCGTTTCTCCTGCTGCTGGCGCGTCGGGGGTTCCGAAGAAGCAGGCGGGAGGTAAGGTCAACTCGGGCGCAGCCGCCAAGACGCCCGTCGCTCCCACTGTTGGCACGGCGGCCGTCCCGAAGGAGCAGGCGCCGGGGGCAAAGGCCACCTCGGACGCAGCCCCCAAGCCCACCGCTGCCACCGCAGCCCCCAAGCCCCCCACTGCCACCCCTGCCAGTGCTGCGAGCAGTGCTGCGCCCGGCATTTGATTGGAGACCAACCAGAAGACGTGCAATGGAGGAGCAGAGGAGGGTGGCAGGGCGGCAGGGCTCGGCAGAAGCGGCGAATGGCGGCCGAATGACCCTCTAATGCATGGGGAGAGGGGGGGGGTTGTTTCTAGAAGACCTGCTGCTTGTGATGTGGCGTGCTTGTGGCGGTGATGCCGTGTGTGTGTCTGTGTGCATGTGTTTGTGCTGTTCTGTGAGGGAGGTGGGGCATAGAAGGGGCAAGATGAGCAAGGATTCTGCTCTGCTTTTGCATCTCAGTTTAATTTCCTTCCAGTGTGTGTTTTTTTTTTTTTCCTTCCAGTTTCAATTCCTTTCAAGTTTTGATGCTGATTGCATGTGGTGGGCTGCTAGTGCAATGGTGAATCTTGTCAATGCAAATGTTCTCTGCTCTAAGAAATCAATTTACAGTTCATTTTAGTCCCAAATTGCGGATCATGGCACATGATGGCATGGCACATGATGGCATGGCACGGCACTAACCTTACCGGTACATGATTTAGCAGCACCCCTCTTCAAGATAACCGTAGCCAGATGGCCTTCCATCTTGCACAAAAGAGATGCTTTCTATAGATAAGTTTGCAGAATTATGTTAATGGTTTTCGATTAGTATGTGTGACATTTATATGGTCACAACACAGCACTAGACATAACTAGGCTTCTAGATACCTTTAATCTTGCAATAAGCATATAGACCCGAACCCAGAAACCCCATAGCTTGCCCAATTATATTGCCCTGCAGAAAAAAAAAAAATCAACAATGGAAAAAAATAACTCTTGCCACTCTTTGACAGAAACATGTGAGAACAGAAACATGACAGCAACATGTACCCAAATAGCAGATCCTAAAACCCCTGTTACGGTATAAAAACCCTCCCACCACCATAATTTAATCTTATCCCCCAGCTGCCAAAATCCCCCCCTTTAGAGAGGGAAAAAAAATCCTTCCCCTCACACCCTTCCCTACCCCACTCTTGCCACTCTTACCAGGTCAAAAGGCAAGCCTCCAAAAAGTGCCCAACCGATTCCAACCGTTCCTAAATCCTGCAGATACCAGCCAGGAGAGGGATGTGGATTCTGGATTAGTTTAGGAATGAGATTAGTCTACGAAATGAGAATAGTAGGCGCAGAGTGGAGAGCGAGTTGAGAGTGGTGTTGAGGAATATGGTGGCTGGGTGGGTGTGCACACCTGAATGCTGAGTGTGAAGTCACCTTATACACACACACACACCTTGATGTTACCTTACACACACACACCTTGATGTTACCTTACACACACACACCTTGATGTTGCCACACACCTTGATACCACCACACCTCGATGTTACCACCACGAATCGATGTAACCACCACGCCTCCATGTTACCACTGCACCTCGATGTTACCACACCACCACGCCTTGATGTTGCCACCATACGTTAATGTTACCACACACCTTGATTGATGTTGCCACGCACCTTGATGTTACCACACACCCGGATGTTGCCACACACACACCTTGATGTTGCCACACACACACCTTGATGTTGCCACACACCTTGATGTTGCCACACATGGTTTGGGTGAGGGCAGAGTTAAGAGAGGTGTTGAGGAAGATGGTGTAGTTGAGAGCAAAGGCCATGAGGCATGACATGGACAGCACAGCCTGGTGGGTGGGAAGGGGAGATTGGGAGAGATTGAACTGGTTGGTTGGAGCAGATGAGGTGTTGAGGAAGATGGTGTAGTTGAGAGCAAAGGCCATGAGGCATGACATGGACAGCACAGCCTGGTGGGTGGGAAGGGGAGATTGGGAGAGATTGAACTGGTTGGTTGGAGCAGATGAGGTGTTGAGGAAGATGGTGTAGTTGAGAGCAAAGGCCATGAGGCATGACATGGACAGCACAGCCTGGTGGGTGGGAAGGGGAGATTGGGAGAGATTGAACTGGTTGGTTGGAGCAGATGAGGTGTTGAGGAGAATGGTGTAGTTGAGAGCAAAGGCCATGAGGCATGACATGGACAGCACAGGCTGATGGCGGGAGAGATGGCATAAATTGCACAAAAATAAGCGTTGCTGTTGCTTTAAGCGTTTTCCAATCTTCAGAGTTGCAGCTCTTCCGCTATGAGTGAAGATACGAGCGGGAGAGATGACATAGATTGCACAAAAATAGGTCAGATGAGTAGCGAGCCATTGAGAAAGGGCAGAGGGCATGAGGTGAGGCATGACATCGCCAGCACTGCCTGATGAGTAAGTGGAGGGGGTTGGGGGGGAGCACATGCAATCGGTCTGTATCACAAGCTGCTGCAGAAACGACGGTGTGGTTCAGTGCGAAGGGCATGACGCATGATATCTTGGAAGAGGGGGAGGAATGACATGAGGCATGACATTGCCAGCACTGCCTGATACGGTCTGTATCACAAGCTGCTGCAGAAACGACGGTGTGGTTTAATGCGAAGGGCATGAGGCATGACATCGACAGCACCACCTGGAGGGCGGGAGTAGAAGAGGGGGGGTGGGGGGAGACCTTGGTACGTTTGGTTGGTTGGTTGGTTGGTTGGGTGGTCGGCCGGTTGGTCGGTCAGTCGGTTGGTTGGTCGGTCGTTCGGTCGGTCGGTCGGTCGGTTGATTGAATGGAACAGAAGCGTGGCATGAAATGAAATGGCATGGCACAGAATTGCATGGCATGGCACAGAATTACATGGCATGGCACAGAATTACATGGCATGGCACAGAATTTTATGACATGGCACAGAATTACATGGCATGGCACAGAATTACATGGCATGGCACAGAATGCCATCGCGTGGCATGAATAGCATGACGTAGCACAGCATGCATGGTGAAAAAGGGACCTTGCACTGACTCAACTTGCTGACTGGCAAGAGAGCATGGACTAAGCATGGCGGCATAGCAAGTTGCTGTAATGTCTCTCTCCCCCTCCCCTTGGTCCGACCTCGTGTGTGTGTATGTGTGTCCGTTGCTCTTGGTCAACCTGAATGTTGCATGTGACACGGGTTAACTTCCGCGCTACCGTTGACACTCAAGCGACGAACGCTCAAGCCGCGGCAACTCATGAACACGACGAGTTGCCTTGCCACAGCTCGAGCGCTCGCCACTTGAGTGTCAACGGTAGCGTGGCAATCACCCCGTGTCACATGCAACATCCAGGCCGATCGAAGTGTAACGGACACACAAACACACGGGAGCAGATTGAGGAAATTGGGTTGCAGCAGTGCTGGGAACTTAAGATCCATTGGATTTCCCATGAAAAAAAACGTCCAGAGAAGTAGCACGGGGATGCAGACGCTCACACACAGCCCATTCCCCTTTCTCCCACGGACTCACACGCGCACCAAGCACCAACACCACCAACCCACCAGGAATTTGGGCTGCAGGAGTGCTGGAAACTCGAGCACCAGTTGAATCTCCCCCGAGAGGAATGTCCAGAGGAGGAGGGCGGGGATGCAGACGCACACACACAGCCCTTTCTCCGTTCCCCCATGGTCTCACCCGCGCACAAGCACCAGCCACCACCAACCCACCAGAAAATTGGGTTGCAGGAGTGCTGGGAAATCGAGAGCCCGTTGAATCTCCCCCGTGAGGAATGTCCAGTTCAGAGGAGGAGAAGGGGGATGTAGCAGCACACACACAGCCCATCCAGTCTTCTCCAACGCACCAGGAAATCGGGTTGCAGCAGCGCTGGAAAGTCGAGCGCCCGTTGAATCTCCCCCGAGAGGAATGTCCAGAGGAGGAGGGCGGGGATGCAGATGACGCCTGGAGATGGGATAGAGGAATGCGTGAGAGGAGATGGCATGGGGGAATGAGGGAGAGGAGATGGCATGGGGGAATGAGAGAGAGGAGATGGCAGTGAGGTGGACTTTCGGACTTTTGAGACGCGTTGAAAAGGGAGAGAGGGGAGAGAGGGATGGGAGAGAGGGATGGGAGAGAGGGATGGGAGAGAGGGATGACAGAGAGGGATTAGAGAGAGGGATGGGAGAGTGAGATGAGAGAGAGGGATGAGAGAGAGGGATGAGAGAGAGGAATGAGAGAGAGGGATGAGAGAGAGGGATGAGAGAGAGGAATGGGAGAGGAAAGGGGTGGCCTCAAGTGATGGGAGAGGAAAGGGTTGGGATGGGCACAGGGCACAGGGCACAGGGCACAGGGCACAGGGCACAGGGCACAGGGCACGGGGCACAGGGCACAGGGCACAGGGTACAGGGTACAGGGCACAGGGCGCAGGGCACAGGGAACGGGGAACGGGGCACAGGGCACAGGGCACGGGGCACAGGGTACAGGGCACAGGGTACAGGGTACAGGGCACAGGGCGCAGGGCACAGGGAACGGGGAACGGGGCACAGGGCACAGGGTACAGAGCAAGGGGCATGGGGCACACAGGGCATGGGGCACACAGGGCATGGGGCACACAGGGCATGGGGCACACAGGGCATGGGGCACACAGGGCATGGGGCACACAGGGCATGGGGCACACAGGGCATGGGGCACACAGGGCATGGGGCACACAGGGCATGGGGCACACAGGGCATGGGGCACACAGGGCATGGGGCACACAGGGCATGGGGCACACAGGGCATGGGGCACACAGGGCATGGGGCACACAGGGCATGGGGCACACAGGGCATGGGGCACACAGGGCATGGGGCACACAGGGCATGGGGCACACAGGGCATGGGGCACACAGGGCATGGGGCACAGGGCATGGGGCACACAGGGCATGGGGCACACAGGGCATGGGGCACAGGGCATGGGGCACACAGGGCATGGGGCACACAGGGCATGGGGCACAGGGCATGGGGCACAGGGCATGGGGCACACAGGGCATGGGGCACACAGGGCATGGGGCACAGGGCATGGGGCACACAGGGCATGGGGCACACAGGGCATGGGGCACACAGGGCATGGGGCACACAGGGCATGGGGCACACAGGGCATGGGGCACACAGGGCATGGGGCACACAGGGCATGGGGCACAGGGCATGGGGCACACAGGGCATGGGGCACACAGGGCATGGGGCACACAGGGCATGGGGCACACAGGGCATGGGGCACACAGGGCATGGGGCACACAGGGCATGGGGCACACAGGGCATGGGGCACACAGGGCATGGGGCACACAGGGCATGGGGCACACAGGGCATGGGCCACAGCCCATAGCGCACACAGGGCATGGGCACACAGGGCATGGGGCACACAGGGCATGGGGCACACAGGGCATGGGGCACACAGGGCATGGGGCACACAGGGCATGGGGCACACAGGGCATGGGGCACACAGGGCATGGGGCACACAGGGCATGGGGCACACAGGGCATGGGGCACAGGGCATGGGGCACACAGGGCATGGGGCACAGGGCATGGGGCACACAGGGCATGGGGCACAGGGCATGGGGCACACAGGGCATGGGGCACACAGGGCATGGGGCACAGGGCATGGGGCACAGGGCATGGGGCACACAGGGCATGGGGCACACAGGGCATGGGGCACAGGGCATGGGGCACACAGGGCATGGGGCACACAGGGCATGGGGCACACAGGGCATGGGGCACAGGGCATGGGGCACACAGGGCATGGGGCACACAGGGCATGGGGCACACAGGGCATGGGGCACAGGGCATGGGGCACACAGGGCATGGGGCACACAGGGCATGGGGCACACAGGGCATGGGGCACAGGGCATGGGGCACAGGGCATGGGGCACACAGGGCATGGGGCACACAGGGCATGGGGCACACAGGGCATGGGGCACACAGGGCATGGGGCACACAGGGCATGGGGCACACAGGGCATGGGGCACACAGGGCATCGGGCACAGGGCACATAAGTAGAGGTCAAGGGCACGTGCAATGAAGGCTCACCATTACACCACATGAGGCCGAAGCTGTTGAGGCCGGTAGCCTTGCCGAGTCTTGCAATAAAGGCGAGGTAGAGTGCGGTGGTGATGTTGGATAGGAAGACGAGTGAGTAGCCATATGCTTCAAATGAGAAGTCCCTTAGTGCTGCGAGCAGTGCTCCTGTGACTATGACTGCCACACTGAACTGCAGAGAAGGGAGGAGAGGGAGGGAAGCAATTACACAAGCATGAGTGCGAACGAGACAAGTCCCTTAGTGCTGCCAGCAGTGCTCCTGAGAGTATGACTGCCACACTGAACTGAAGAGAAGGGAGGAGAGGGAGGGAAGCAATTACACAAGCATGAGTGCGAACGAGACAAGTCCCTTAGTGCTGCCAGCAGTGCTCCTGAGAGTATGACTGCCACACTGAACTGAAGAGAAGGGAGGAGAGGGAGGGAAGCAATTACACAAGCATGAGTGCGAACGAGACAAGTCCCTTAGTGCTGCCAGCAGTGCTCCTGAGAGTATGACTGCCACACTGAACTGAAGAGAAGGGAGGAGAGGGAGGGAAGCAATTACACAAGCATGAGTGCGAACGAGACAAGTCCCTTAGTGCTGCCAGCAGTGCTCCTGAGAGTATGACTGCCACACTGAACTGAAGAGAAGGGAGGAGAGGGAGGGAAGCAATTACACAAGCATGAGTGCGAACGAGACAAGTCCCTTTGTGCTGCCAGCAGTGCTCCTGTGACTATGACTGCCACACTGAACTGAAGAGAAGGGAGGAGAGGGAGGGAAGCAATTACACAAGCATGAGTGCGAACGAGACAAGTCCCTTAGTGCTGCCAGCAGTGCTCCTGAGAGTATGACTGCCACACTGAACTGAAGAGAAGGGAGGAGAGGGAGGGAAGCAATTACACAAGCATGAGTGCGAACGAGACAAGTCCCTTAGTGCTGCCAGCAGTGCTCCTGTGACTATGACTGCCACACTGAACTGAAGAGAAGGGAGGAGAGGGAGGGAAGCAATTACACAAGCATGAGTGCGAACGAGACAAGTCCCTTAGTGCTGCCAGCAGTGCTCCTGAGAGTATGACTGCCACACTGAACTGAAGAGAAGGGAGGAGAGGGAGGGAAGCAATTACACAAGCATGAGTGCGAACGAGACAAGTCCCTTAGTGCTGCCAGCAGTGCTCCTGAGAGTATGACTGCCACACTGAACTGAAGAGAAGGGAGGAGAGGGAGGGAAGCAATTACACAAGCATGAGTGCGAACGAGACAAGTCCCTTAGTGCTGCCAGCAGTGCTCCTGTGACTATGACTGCCACACTGAACTGAAGAGAAGGGAGGAGAGGGAGGGAAGCAATTACACAAGCATGAGTGCGAACGAGACAAGTCCCTTAGTGCTGCCAGCAGTGCTCCTGAGAGTATGACTGCCACACTGAACTGAAGAGAAGGGAGGAGAGGGAGGGAAGCAATTACACAAGCATGAGTGCGAACGAGACAAGTCCCTTAGTGCTGCCAGCAGTGCTCCTGTGACTATGACTGCCACACTGAACTGCAGAGAAGGGAGACGGATGGATGGAGAGCGGATAGATGGAGAGCGGATAGAAATATGATTTCTACGTACACAAGTGCAGGCACACAAGCACAGAAGCACCATTGCAAGACTAACGTGCAGCCCTCAACTCAAGCTCACCTGATGAGCGTGTATGAGGAGTGTCGCTTGCTTGACAGCAGTCGCTCGGCCAGAAGGGTGAAGGCCACCGTGGTGCGCCTGAGAGCCGTGTACATGGGCACGTTCACTCCCCTTATGCTCGCCATACCCACCACCTGAGGAACGGGATTGGGAGGAAAGGAAACACAGAGACATACGCAAGGGTGAATTAAAGGTGACTGTGGTGCGGCGCAGGGCCGTGTACATGGGCACGTTCTCTCCCCTTATGCTCGCCATGCCCACCACCTGCGGACAGACACACACATGAACAGGCATGAACAGGCATGAACAGGCATGAACAGGCGCACAGGGAGAGGGAAGTGAAGAAGACTGTGGTGCACCTGAGAGCCGTAAACAAGGGCACGTTCACTCACGCACGCACCAGTAGAGACCAACAAGCACACAGCAGAGCCAAGGGGGTCATGGTGTGTGTGGTGTGGGTACTGCAGCATGCAGCATACAGTGCATCATGCATTGAAGCAGGTACGCACAGGAGGCAGGGGAGGGAGAGAAGAAGCACTCTGGCAAGAAGCACTCTGGCAAGAAGCACTCTGGCAAGAAGCACTCTGGCAAGAAGCTGAGGCTCATGCGTGGAGCAGGTAGCCCCACACATCCTTTCTCATGAAGCACTCTGGTCGGCAAGACTATGCCAAGACGCGAACCCACTGCGTGCGCCCGCCCTTTTCCCTCTTTGCCCACAGTGGCACTTCATCGCATGCCAACTCCCTCGGGACATTCGTACCATGTGGTGGAGGAGATAACTACCAGACAGCTTTTGAGTCGACTCAAAACCAGGTAGGGAAGGGATAGAGGAGATATGAGAGCAAGAAAGGGCAACCCCAACCCCAAGGGACATCCGTACCACGTAGAGGAGATGGGAGAGTGACAGAGGCAAAACTCTAGAGAGAGTGTGCAGAGGCACAGACAAACGCACTGCGCCCGCCCCTGCTCCTCCCACCCTTCCTTCCCTTCCTACCATCAGCTCAGCACCAGCAGCAGCAGGAGTGACAGAGAGAGAGTAGATGGGAGCAAACAAGCCTGCCACCACCCTGCCCTGCCGAACCCCCAGGGACGTACGTACCATGTAGAGGAGATATGAGAGCGACAGCGGCAGCACCCTGGCAAGAGTATGCAGCGGCACAAACCCACTGCGCCCGCCCCTGCTCCTCCCACCCTTCCCTCCCTTCCCCAATTTTCCCCCACCACCAACAGCACCAGCAGGGGCGACAGAGACAGAGTAGCTGGGAGCAAACAGGCCCGCCACCACCCTGCCCAGCCCCACCGCTGCTCCTCCCTTGCTGCTCCCTAGGCTGCTACCGCTGCTGCTGCCTATGCTGCTGCTGCCTCTGCCCAGAGCCACGTCAGCAGCAGAGCCATCCGCAAAGGTGAGAACGTCTGCCAGGCGGAGAACGGCTAACAGGGCCGTAGAGGAGAGCATCTGGAGGGGTGGGGGGGTGGGGGGGGGGAGAAGGGGCGAGGGGGGGAGAAGGGGCGAGGGGGGGAGAAGGATGCACGTCGGAATGAGGTGGGGAAATGCAAGAGCGTCTAACAGGGCTGTAGGGGACAGCATCTGAGGGGGGTTAGAGGGGAGGGAGGATTATGGTGAGGGGCATGAGTGGTGAGGCACTGATACTGCCTTTAGCTTCCTGCGACTGTGAAGGCGTCTACCAGACGGAGAAGGGCTAGCAGGGCGGCCCTGCCAGGGCCGTAGGGGCAGCATCTGCGGGGATAGGGAGGGGGGCAGAGGGAGGAAGGGAGGAAGGGAGGGAGGAAGGGAGGAAGGGAGGGAGGGAGGGAGGGAGGGAGGGAGGGAGGGAGGGAGGGAGGGAGGGAGGGAGGGAGGGAGGGAGGGAGGGAGGGAGGGAGGGAGGGAGGGAGGAAGGGAGGAAGGAAGGGAGGGAGGGAGGGAGGGAGGAAGGGAGGGAGGGAGGGAGGAAGGGAGGGAGGGAGGGAGGAAGGGAGGGAGGGAGGAATGGAGGGAGGGAGGGAGGGAGGGAGGGAGGGAGGGAGGGAGGGAGGGAGGGAGGGAGGGAGGGAGGGAGGGAGGGAGGGAGGGAGGGAGGAAGGGAGGAAGGAAGGGAGGGAGGGAGGGAGGGAGGAAGGGAGGGAGGGAGGGAGGAAGGGAGGGAGGGAGGGAGGAAGGGAGGGAGGGAGGAATGGAGGGAGGGAGGGAGGGAGGGAGGGAGGGAGGGAGGGAGGGAGGGAGGGAGGGAGGGAGGGAGGGAGGGAGGGAGGGAGGGAGGGAGGGAGGGAGGAAGGGAGGGAGGAAGGGAGGGAGGGAGGGAGGGAGGGAGGGAGGGAGGGAGGGAGGGAGGGAGGGAGGGAGGGAGGGAGGGAGGGAGGGAGGAAGGAGGGAGGGAGGGAGGAAGGGAGGAGGGAGGGAGGGAGGAGGGAGGAAGGGAGGGAGGGAGGTAGCGAGGAGGGAGGGAGGGAGGAGGGAGGGAGGGAGGGAGGGAGGGAGGGAGGGAGGGAGGGAGGGAGGGAGGGAGGGAGGGAGGGAGGGAGGGAGGGAGGGAGGAGGAGGGAGGAAGGGAGGGAGGGAGGAAGGAAGGGAGGGAGGGAGGGAGGGAGGAAGGGAGGGAGGGAGGGAGGAAGGGAGGGAGGGAGGGAGGAAGGGAGGGAGGGAGGAATGGAGGGAGGGAGGGAGGGAGGGAGGGAGGGAGGGAGGGAGGGAGGGAGGGAGGGAGGGAGGGAGGGAGGGAGGGAGGGAGGGAGGGAGGGAGGGAGGAAGGGAGGGAGGAAGGGAGGGAGGGAGGGAGGGAGGGAGGGAGGGAGGGAGGGAGGGAGGGAGGGAGGGAGGGAGGGAGGGAGGGAGGAAGGGAGGGAGGGAGGAAGGAAGGGAGGGAGGGAGGGAGGGAGGAAGGGAGGGAGGGAGGGAGGAAGGGAGGGAGGGAGGGAGGAAGGGAGGGAGGGAGGAATGGAGGGAGGGAGGGAGGGAGGGAGGGAGGGAGGGAGGGAGGGAGGGAGGGAGGGAGGGAGGGAGGGAGGGAGGGAGGGAGGGAGGAAGGGAGGGAGGAAGGGAGGGAGGGAGGGAGGGAGGGAGGGAGGGAGGAAAAATGGTAGGGAGGGAGGGAGGGAGGGGAGGGAGGGAGGGAGGAAAAATGGTGAGTGGAAGGAGTTGGGGTGCTGCTAAGAAAGGGATTCACAGAGCTTCATTCAACCGTCTGCCTATGATGTGCTACAGAGAGGGCGGAGGACGAGGAGGGGGGGTAGCTTGAGTAACTTTTGAGTCGACTGAAAAGCTTCACTCACCCGTCTGCCCATGATTGGCTAAAGCGAGGGGAGAGGAAGAGGACGGGGGATACCTTGAGCGAGTGATGACGTCACCTGGAGGGTGGTGATGACGTCACATAGAGGAGAGAGAGGTGACGCCATGTGACAAGGGTGATGACGTCACCTGAAGCAGAGTGATGACGTTGGCGCAAGGGAAGTTGAAGGAGGAAAGGGCGGCCTTGTTGAACATAACGAGTGTGACTGTAAGGAGGGAACGAGATGAGCACATAGGCAAAGGAGAACGGAGATAATGGAAAGGAGTATGGTAGCCACAGTGAGTATGGTAGACAGTGAGCATGGTAGACACAGTGAGAATGGTAGACACGGTGAGTATGGTAGACACAGTGAGTATGGTAGACACAGTGAGTATGGTAGACACAGTGAGTATGGTAGACACAGTGAGTATGGTAGACACAGTGAGTATGGCAGACACAGTGAGTATGGCAGACACAGTGAGTATGGTAGACACAGTGAGTATGGTAGACACAGTGAGTATGGTAGACACAGTGAGTATGGTAGACACAGTGAGTATGGTAGACAAAGATCCGCTCAGCAATTGATGGCGGAAAGAGCAGGATATTGAACATAAGGGGTGTGACTGTAGGGAGGGGATGAACTGAGCGCATAGACAAAGGAGAAAGGAGGAAGGGGAAGGGGAAAGGGGTGTGATACGCAGTCACCTTTGTCGTGACAGTCACACACGGATCGCTGGACATGATTTCTAACCTAGTGTTGACTTACCCCGAATTATCCAAAACAGCCCGAATTATCCAAATTACTCGAATTATCTGAATTACTCGGATCACAAAAAAACACCATAACTATCAGAATTATTCAAATTATCCGAAGTACCCGATTTATCTGAATTACTGAAACAATCCAAATTACTCGAATTCGCCGAATGACCAGCAGCGTAACCCTAACTACCTGCGCAGATCATGTACGAAACGGCGGCGATCATCCCCCGCCGCGTCATGCCTTTCTGCCTCGCGTCAAGCTTCTCGTCCGCCCGTCGCGGCAGCAGATTCTGCCTCTCCGCGCGATGCGGCCCGTCAGATTGAGCGTCCATCTGGCCAGAATCGGGGCCGTGTGCTACTAATAATAGCGGTGGTAGTAATCGGAATTGTAGTGAAAAAATATCTCCGTTGTACTAATCGCAGTACTGGTGGGTGGAAGTCGCGATTGAACTCGAGGTTCAGATGTTTCAAACTTAGGAAGGTTGGTTGGCGCGGGAAACCAAGTTGCATCGCGAGAGCTGGGGTTGACGAATTTTTCAAACGATGTTCGTGGCATCGTTGTACACATGATGCCCGACCAGTGCACGCGAAATTGCCATGCACCGGATGGAAACGCTGCCCCCGAGCTGGAAACCCCTGCTTTCTGCTCCCACAGTACAAGCACATGGGTGGCTGGCAACAGTACACGCGACTCGGCCATCAATGCACGTGCAGTCCCGAACAAGCCATGCCGACCCACTGTTGCCTTGTTTCTAGGCCAGGAGTCGGAGAGGCGAAATGACTGGACGAAACGACTATGGTTTCGTGAACGCATTCTCCCATCTAGGCCGCCACCTAAGCAAGGATCATCGTGCGTGTAACAGGCATTTGGTCAGATACAAGCTGCCACGTGTAATTCGGGACTTGCAAGGTACAAGCGCATTACCAGCCAGGCGTGCTTCGCCCACCCCACGTCAGACATTCGAGGGTGTGGTTACCAAACCACACGATAAAAAATGCAAGCCATGTGCATGGAACGAACACCAACCACAAAAATGTGACATGCAACAAAGAACAGGCCACAGCTTTGCCCAGCACGCCCGACCTATGACGATAAAAATCGATCAACTAATTCACAAGGTCAGCATTCTCTCACACCCCAGCCGCTCACAATGCCCCGCTTTAATTGACGGGAGCAGCTCCCGCTCCATATCAAGCGCGCTATTTGCGCGCACCACGTCGACAACCCCCGCCTGCGTCATGTTGACCTGGCGAGGTGGTGCTACACGCAGTACGGATTGCGCCCGGATCGCTCCACTGTCGACCGCATATTGAAGCTCGCCGAGCGATGGGCTGTCACGGCAACCGGCGACAACCAAGTGCGCCGTCGAGGTGGCGCAGGGTCTGAGCTGGAGCAGGCCATGGCGCGGTGGATCGCAAACGCAGGGCCCGCTGGCGTGCCTCTGACGCTGCAGACCATCCGCGACCATGTCGTGACGACCTGCATGAGCAACGTGCGGCTCGTCTTCCTGCCGCCAAATACCACCGCATTCACACAGCCGCTCGATCAAGGCATCATAGCCACCGTAAAGGCCCGCTACTAACAGCATTGGCTGCCGGCCTTCTCGGCTTTGTGGAACGGCGACGGCGCGACTTCCGCCGTCGCGCGTTTCCGCCCGAACTTGCGCGATGTCCTCGCGTGGCTGTCGGACGCGTGGACCTCGGTCGGCGCGCGCACCATTCAAAGGTGCTGGTGGCGCACGGGGTGTCTGCCGCTCTCGTGGTCCCTGGAGCTGACGCAGGTACACGACGATGAGCCCTCCCCCGCCGTCTACCCCGACATCGGGCTCGACGACGACATCGACGATGTCGGGACGCTTATTAGCGGGCTCGCCCTCGGGAATGCGGCGATGACGGCCGCAGAGTACGTCGCCATCGACGACGACGAGCCAACGTGCGCTGAGGGCGCTGCGGGACAGCCCGCGACTGAGCCGGAGGCGGGCCTAGAGGTGGAGCTCTGGCACGCGTCGACGACCATGCAAGCCGTCTACGACGACGCCGACCCAGTGTGCCGCGAAGCGCGGCGCACTGCACAGGCGGCATGCGAGATGCTCATCGGATATGCACGGGCCACCCGCATCACGCCGCGCGATCTGTGCCATCTGTTCGATATCCGCAACCCCATCGTAATCGCGCGGATGGAGCGGGCGAGCCCGTCATTCAACCTCAACGTGGCGCCTCAGCCCGTACCCTCCCCGGGCGCAACTCCCACGCCCGAGACGCCTCGTCCGCGCGGCCGTGTGCTGCCCGGCTGGATGACCCGTCCGTCTCGCCGTCAGGAGTTGTTTGACGCCGGTGTGGGCGCCGTGATGGACGGGTATGTGGACGCGGCTGAGTGGATGCGTCTGTGAGGGGGGGGGGTGGAGCAGACTTCGCAAGGTGTCGAAGGCATTTTGCTGAGAGCCCAAGTGTTCACTCCTTGTGCCCATTTGTGCGTGTTTCGTTTTGTGTGTTGAATGGAGATGATGGGCCAGGTGGAGGATGTTGATTGGAAGGTGTTTGTGTTTTGACTGTTTTGTACTACGAAAAACAATTGTTGTGCATGCTTGTTTCGGTACTGTAGCGTTCGTTTAGTAACCCTAAACACACAACGGGGACAAGTGCTGCAACCCCTTACTGTTGCGACACAGACAAACTGGGTGGTTATCATGTGCAGTTTTGAAGCACGCTGGACGCCTGACGAAATTCACGAATGCCCCGCGAAATGCAGGTTTAGCTTACAGACCCAGTTCACAAGGCAACCGGGAGGGGCTCTAACGAGTATCAGGTGTATGTCGCGGACGTTACCAGGCAGCTAGTGCGACTGTCTGACTTCCCACGACATCGCCAGGACAACATTCTGCGACCGATTGAAAGGCCTGTAGGGGCCGTGTTTGCTTCCTGCCAACCACTCTCAAGAATTTTGCTCGATTCTGCGAAAGCGCGATTTATTTTTTTTTGCCACGTGGCGAGCCTATGTTCGCGTGAGCCGCGATCTGTTTTATTGTTATCGCAAAGTTCAAGAGAGATTTAGTTAAGTTCTGTACTGCGCTGCCCGCGGGAAAAAAATAAAACCCCTACACGTAAGGCATGCGTTAGAGATGCATCAACCCTAAACACCTAGAGGCAAGGTGTTTAGGGTTGATGCCCCCCTAAAGCATGCCAGGCCCAAATGGGTTTTATTTTTGCCCGCGGGCAGCGCAGTACATAGCTTAACTAGTTTTCTCTTGAGGTTTGTGATAACAAAAAACAGGTCGTGGTTCACGCGATCGAAAGCATGCCACATGGCAATAATAAAACAAACCGTGATTCCGCGGGATTGAGCAAAACTCTCACCACTCTCGCTCGGGGTGGCGACGCTTTTGAGTAGGTGCGAGTGGGTGCGGTGCGAGGTTTCGTCGCTGCCCGGGCGAACTTCCCCAGACCCAGGCCAGGGAAAGGCATGACGCTTCAAGGGCGAATCTCTCGTTAGTAGTTGTAACCTAGTTGTGTATGCACTCGGCTATTTCTGAGTAGAGAATGCAGAAATATAGAATGGACTAAAACGAACCCTCTCTAACGAGTCCAAGTTTTGAAGCCTGGTTCCGTAGGCACACAGGAAAAAATGCACCAATTTCTCCCCGTTGAGTGCGGGGGGAATTGAGGGGCGAAATGATTGTACATAATTGCGTCCAGCGAGTTTACGAAGGAAACATCAAGCTGGTCACGTGAGCCACCTTCGCATCAAGGCTGTGTCATGCGCCATAAAGGTTTTTCGTCACCTCGCAGCTGTTCGTTACATTGTGCAAATCCACCTCGCGAAGTCGCCTCGCCAACTCTAGGGGTGAACTTGGAACCAACCACACCACCGCTCCAACTTTCCAACTCCCCCGCGACTCACGGCGGCCTCCACGCAGAGTTTTCAGCAGCAGCACAAGGATTTCTAGTGCCTACGCAGGCTGAAAGTGCAGCACAAAAGAAGTATAAGTCGACGGCGAGTGTTGCTCATCTCACATGCAATTCCGATCTTCCTCACTGTCTAATCTGCATCCATTGCCCGTGGAAAAGTACTCACTTTCCTCGCCCTTTTTCGAGTAAAAAAACATCCGCCGTCCATCTCAACGATGGGTGCCATCCGCTCTCTTTTCGTGCTCGCGCTTCTCCTCGCGTGTCTGAGCCTCCTTGACACTGCGGCAGCGCAGCCCAAGTACGACCGTCTCAAGAGCGACTCTCAGTCATCGGACGGCAAGAATTCGCCGGCGAAAAGCATGGCCGACCCGGACAACTTGTCAAAATCAAACGCAAACGTCATCAAGAAGCGCTTCGGAGAGGACGCGCCCGAGGCGCTCAAAGCCGCTTCTGCAGCGGCTGAGCCCAAAACGCGTCCGCGGGCGGGATTCGACCCCAACCAGAAGCCGCAGGAGCAGACACCCGCCAAGCCGGCGGAGAGCAGGAAGGCTGGCGGCGGATTCTTTGAGAAGAAGAAATAAGAGCTATAGCGTTATAGCGGTACTTTGATGCTCTTTGGCATGATTTGGTGTTGAGCAATGGTGGGTTTCGCGGGGCAGGCAGTACCTGGCTGTGGTTGCTTGCGTGTTTGCTTGCTTTGCCGCTCTGTTTCTCGTGCTTGTTTGTTTCGGTGGGCTGCGTGTTAATTCGTGTGTGCAATCTACGTGGATGATGCATTGTGAATGCTATTTGAATGCTACTATCGGCTAATATAGAATTTCAGTTAACAGCTCTCAAAAAGGCACCTTTCTGGGAGACAGCAACTCTGCAATCCTTTAAAGCCAGCTGAGTAACATGCTGTGGTAACTACTGGGTTGCAAGATGGCACGTGGATACCGTTTGCTCCTGAAGTTGATGAAACAACCCTGCTGAAGCTCTGCTGTCCCTGTGACCGAGTTCCTCTCTTACTCTACCCTCTCCCTGGCCCCTGCACTTGCCCATAGCCCCTGCGCTTGCCCATGGCCCCTGCACAGCTTCAGCCAGAGACATTCCAATCACAGCTGCATCCGTCAAGAAACGGTTTTTGAGATAATCCCTGCATCTTTTGGAGGTTAGGTTCCCCTCTGGTCCTCCCCAGTCCATTTGGATAGGTCCTCGTCGGTACCGTATATCATGACATATTCCTAATTCAAGTCACCTTCAAGCATCAATAATGAACACACGACCAAGGGTGTCTCCTGCAACTATCCCCTTACCATCGCATGTCCATCGTAGCCTAATAAATACACTGCCATCTTCTGATAAGTGCTTCTCTTTCTCATAATCGCTACCCTTTTCAGTGTCATAACACGACGCCTCAGTCGTCATTGCCGCTGGACCTGACCCACCAAATGTCGAATTCACTGTATTTACTGTAGAATTTACAGTGGAAGACACTGTAGCGACTGGACAGCGGGTGCTACGGGCCAGGTCCCACAGCTGAATCCTCCCGGAGCCAACAGAGAGGGCGAAAAGTGAGAGGCTTGAGGGGCACCAGCGCACATCGTGACACGTGTCGTCGAATGATTGGAGGGTGAGTAGCGGCCTGCTTCGCAGGGTGGTGGTGAGTGGGAATGGGGATCAAGGAATGCACAGGAGTGTGATAAGACATTGCAGTGATCAGGGGGATAGGGGCACAGCAGGTAACTTTTGAGTCGACTCAAAAGTCATCAGGAGTGTGAAAAGACATTGTAGTGATGAGGGGGATAGCGGCACAGCAGGTACTCTTGCAGAGCCCCACGGTCCTAGCAAGGTGACTTCTGAGTCGACTCAAAATTCAAGGAATGCACAGGAGGGACATTGTAGTGATGAGGGGGATAGCGGCACAGCAGGTACTCATGCAGAGCCCCACGGTCCTAGCAGAGTGTAACAGGCATGGGAAGAGAGGAAGGGGTGGGTGGGGAGGGAAGGTGAAGTAGGTTGAGGGGCACTGCTAGCATACATTCATAAGGTGCAAGGCATGAGGATTCCCATGAAAGGGAAAATTTCTAGGCCGATCCAGCTTACCTGTGTGGGTTGGTAGGTAAATGACCAGAGCTTGACGGTCATATCCCAGGAGGTGGAAAGAATGAGATTGCCATGTCATGGCATGTCATGGACTCATGGCATGGCATCGTCATTGGCGTATGCCACAAGGTGAATGGTGCAACACGATCCATGTGGCTCACCTGTGTGGGATGGCTGACGACCACAGCTTGACGGTCATATCCCAGGAGGTGGATAGAATAGAATGAGATCAACGTGCCCCGGCATGAGTCGATTTTTGAGTCGACTCAAAAATGAGATCCCTGTGCCACGGCATGGCATGGCATCCTTGAGACAACTCACGACAGATCTATCATCGTCTGGCTTACCTAAATGGAATGGCTGACGACCACAGCTTGACGGTCATGTCCCACGAGGTGGAGAGAATGAGATCACCATGCCATGGCATGGCAGTAGCACCACAGGCGTATGGCATGGTGGATCTGTGATGGTGAGTCCGTGAGCCCATGGGCTGGAATGTTGGATCCATGCCATGCCACTCCTGCTCCACAGCATCTCCCCTCCCATATAACGAGTCATCAGAACCACTGCTTCTGCTGCTCCTGCTGCTGCTTGTGCTGCTGCGCGTGCCGCCACTGCCGCTGCTGTGGGTGCTGCAGCTGCTGCTGTGGCACCCGGTGGCATGGCTGCTGTGGCAGTTAGGGCTGCCGAGGGATGTGAGCCAGAGAGGGGGATCGGAGGAGAGTAGGGCGGCGCACGGGTGGCAGTGCAGGCCGGATATGAATGCACTGTGATGGGGGGCTGTGGGATGGGAAGCAGGGAGGGTAGGTAGGGGTGTGCATGGGTTGAATAGTTGCCGGAATATTGGGAGGAGAGTAGGGCGGTGCACGGGTGGCAGTGCAGGCCGGATATGAAGGCACTGTGATGGGGGGCTGTGGGATGCGGGGGGGGGTAGGGAGGGAAAGAGGGGCGCGCATGGTTTGAATGATTAAGGGCACGATGGGAGGAGTGGAGAGCGGTGCACGGGAGGTGGAGGTAAGATACGAAGACACTGTAATGTGGCCTGAGGGATGGAGGGGAGGGGAAACGGTGAAAGGGGGCGCGCATAGGGTCAATGGTTGAGAGCAAGGTGGCAGGGGAGGAGGGCGGTGCATGGGTGGCAGTGGTGAAGGAACGGTGGTGTGATCGGGGGACTGAGGGATGGGAGGGGAAAGGGAGGAAGAGAGAAGGGTGTGGGGGAAGGGTCTGCCTGGGGTGATTGGTGGAGGATAAGTTGGACAGGAAGGGTGGAGACCCGTGAGGTGAGGTGCAAGGTGCATATGAGAATGCTGTGATGCGACAAGGCATGAGGGTAAGGCAGTGCATGAGGGTAAGGCAGTGCATGAGGGCAAGGCAGGGCATGAGGGTAAGGCAGGGCATGAGGGTAAGGCAGTGCATGAGGGTAAGGCAGTGCATGAGGGTAAGGCAGTGCATGAGGGCAAGGCAGTGCATGAGGGTAAGGCAGTGCATGAGGGTAGGGCAGTGCATGAGGGTAAGGCAGGGCATGAGGGTAAGGCAGTGCATGAGGGCAAGGCAGTGCATGAGGGTAAGGCAGGGCATGAGGGTAAGGCAGTGCATGAGGGTAGGGCAGTGCATGAGGGTAAGGCAGTGCATGAGGGTAAGGCAGTGCATGAGGGTAGGGCAGTGCATGAGGGTAAGGCAGGGCATGAGGGTAAGGCAGTGCATGAGGGTAAGGCAGGGCATGAGGGTAAGGCAGGGCATGAGGGTAAGGCAGTGCATGAGGGTAGGGCAGTGCATGAGGGTAAGGCAGTGCATGAGGGTAGGGCAGTGCATGAGGGTAAGGCAGTGCATGAGGGTAAGGCAGGGCATGAGGGCAAGGCAGGGCATGAGGGCAAGGCAGTGCATGAGGGTAAGGCAGTGCATGCGGGTAAGGCAGTGCATGAGGGCAAGGCAGTGCATGAGGGTAAGGCAGGGCATGAGGGTAAGGCAGTGCATGAGGGTAAGGCAGTGCATGAGGGTAAGGCAGTGCATGAGGGTAAGGCAGTGCATGCGGGTAAGGCAGTGCATGAGGGTAAGGCAGGGCATGAGGGTAAGGCAGGGCATGAGGGCAAGGCAGTGCATGAGGGTAAGGCAGTGCATGAGGGTAAGGCAGGGCATGAGGGTAAGGCAGTGCATGAGGGTAAGGCAGTGCATGAGGGTAGGGCAGTGCATGAAGGTAAGGCAGGGCATGAGGGTAAGGCAGTGCATGAGGGTAAGGCAGTGCATGAGGGTAAGGCAGTGCATGAGGGTAAGGCAGTGCATGAGGGTAAGGCAGGGCATGAGGGTAAGGCAGTGCATGAGGGTAGGGCAGTGCATGAGGGTAAGGCAGGGCATGAGGGTAAGGCAGGGCATGAGGGCAAGGCAGTGCATGAGGGTAAGGCAGTGCATGCGGGTAAGGCAGTGCATGAGGGCAAGGCAGTGCATGAGGGTAAAGCAGGGCATGAGGGTAAGGCAGTGCATGAGGGTAAGGCAGTGCATGAGGGTAAGGCAGTGCATGCGGGTAAGGCAGTGCATGAGGGCAAGGCAGTGCATGAGGGTAAGGCAGTGCATGAGGGTAAGGCAGGGCATGAGGGTAAGGCAGGGCATGAGGGCAAGGCAGTGCATGAGGGTAAGGCAGTGCATGAGGGTAAGGCAGTGCATGAGGGTAAGGCAGTGCATGAGGGCAAGGCAGTGCATGAGGGTAAGGCAGTGCATGAGGGTAAGGCAGTGCATGAGGGTAAGGCAGTGCATGAGGGCAAGGCAGTGCATGAGGGTAAGGCAGTGCATGAGGGTAAGGCAGGGCATGAGGGTAAGGCAGGGCATGAGGGCAAGGCAGTGCATGAGGGTAAGGCAGTGCATGAGGGTAAGGCAGTGCATGAGGGTAAGGCAGTGCATGAGGGCAAGGCAGTGCATGAGGGTAAGGCAGGGCATGAGGGTAAGGCAGTGCATGAGGGTAAGGCAGTGCATGAGGGTAAGGCAGTGCATGAGGGTAAGGCAGTGCATGAGGGTAAGGCAGGGCATGAGGGCAAGGCAGTGCTTGAGGGTAAGGCAGGGCATGAGGGTAAGGCAGTGCATGAGGGTAAGGCAGTGCATGAGGGTAAGGCAGTGCATGAGGGTAAGGCAGTGCATGAGGGTAAGGCATGAGGCGGGGAATGAAGGGCCCTGTGACGAGAGACTGGAGGCAGGCATACGGGATAGGAGGAACTCACCAGGTTTAGGGCTTAGAGAAGAATTCGTTTAAAATGTTGCTCATTACAGTGGCTGCGGAGCTGGGAGCTGGTAGAGTTACACTTTTACAAATGCCTCGGCTTACCTGGCTGTGATTCTTGTGTTGCAGGTAACCCTGCTTGGCTGGGGGCCACAGACCCATAACCGAATGCAGTTGCTGACACAGCAGCTGACGTGGCGGCTGAGGTGGCAGGAGCGGAGGGTGAAGAGGAGCCAAATCGAAAGTCAAGCCGTGATTGGCCGGGAGATGAGCAGGAGGAGGGGGGGGTAGGAGTAGAGGCGGTGAGGGCGGAGGGGGAGAGATGCCCTTGAAACACACCACCACAGTCAGTGCCCATGTAAAACACTCCAGGTGAAATCCCAGGGGAAAATCCAGGTGCTCCCCCAGGTGCTTCTTCAGGTGCGTTTCCAGGTGTTCCCCGCCACACGGGTGTTGTCCCCATCTGCAGCTCCGAGGGCACCAGGGGCCACTGCGTCAGCATGCGCCAGCTGTCAGGTGAAACACCAGGTGGGGTGAGAGGAATGACTTCCAATGGCTGTTGGCAGGGCGTGGGGGGCAAAAGGGAGATGATGAGACGGGAGAGGAAGAGAGATAGGGGAGGAGAAGGAAAAGGAGAGAGGGGAGGAGAATGGAGATGAGAGGGGGGAGGAGAAGGAAACAAGAGGGGTTGGGAGAAAACTCACACGAGCCCCTCCTGCCCCCCTCGGATCACACGCGCGCACTCACCATGCCCATCATTCGTCTGCTCCATCTCATCACCCTCCCCCCCGCACTGCCACTCAGCACCTCCTCCCCGCCCCTCTCCCCCGCCCCTCCTGCCCCCACACCACCTCCTCCCCCTGCTCCTCCCCCTCCGCCCCGCCCTGCTCCTCCTCTCGACCCCCCTCCTCCTGCAGCCAATGACGTCACTCTCCTGCCATCCGCCACTCTCCACGCCGCCTTTCCCGGTCCCACCTGGCACGGGTCTCCTCCCACCCGCAAATCCCAGACTGCCACGTGTCCACTCCGAGTCCCCCCCAGTAGCAAATTCGGGTCGTCGGGTACCCATAGTATTGTACCAACTCGAGAGCCTCTAAACGAGAGCGATTCTAACGGGGATAACGGCCGCTCTCTCGTCCACACGGGCACACATCCGTTATCGTCACAATCGTCACTGTCACTATATAGGGTAACGCCACATCGAATGTCTGAAGTGACGGAAAGTCTACTCGACTGAGTGGAATCCTGAGCATTGACGACGTTTAGACGGGATCCGTCAATTGACGGAGGCGGCGGACGGGCTGACGGAATGTGTACGGAAGATGTGTTAACGGTGTCGTAACTGACGGCCAAAAGGCGTGAATCTGACGGATGGGCGTCTAGCGCGACGGCTGCTGGAGCTGACGGGGCGGACTTGGGCGGTTGAAGCACGGATTCGATCGTTAGTTTTCTCGTCATTCTGATGACGCAAACTGAGGAGACGTCAAGTCTTCGTCGATCTCACAGTCAGTCGAATCTCACTCAGACGGTCAATTCTCAACCAGACAGATAAAGCACCGCGCGATCGGCTGCAGACGTCTAGGCAGTCAGGTTTGGCTGTTAGGAGAATGGCTAAATGTCAACACGAGCGTTTGAAGAAGAAGCATAAACAAAATTAGGCAGCTCTGGATATGACCCGTGCGTAAATCGATCGAAAAATACTGACGAGATCACTCTCACACAATCGCGTCGCGAAACCTTGTGAGTCCAGACTGACAGGTGGAGCCGCAGATCCTTGAGTGTGGAGTGGAACTTCAGATTCAGACAGGTCTGATTCCAACTTCCAAAATGGTACAGCGTTCTAGTACGTTACAGAGCAGTATTTGCACGTTACATTACGGTGACCATGGCGAATTCGGACCGTTCGCGCTGGATGTTTCTCCCATGAACCAGTCAGGTGTCTATAGGCCATGGTACATTGGGCTCAACTATCGAACTTGAGGCTCGAGCCTACAATGGAGATTTAGGGTAACACAAACCCGAAATTCCCACGGAAATCGGGAATTTCATTTTTGGAATTGAGCCTCGCGCTCGAGCGTGAGGGTCGGTTCTTGGGTACGAACGGTGGAAAAACAGAGACATTTCGCTCTCGCTTTTTGTGTGTCGTCTCTCTCGTCACTCTAAATGTGCGTGACCGTGTTCTGCATGCAACTTCAGGATTATTTCTCGCTAATCAAGTATCGCAAATGTTCCTCCATGGCACCATTTCACCTCGGCATTTGAGACCAGGCTCGAGCCACCGTACATTTCACCAAATGTACCACGTCCTATAGCATACCGCAGGAATCAATAGCGACGCGGTTATCACGCCAGAGATTACGGTGTCTGGTGGTGGTGGATGTACACACGTGACTGAAGTGAACGATAGTGAGAAACCCAGGGGATTGCCTGGGCCTAATATGAATACCTAGGCCTTCACCAAAATCATAATATTATTCGACCACAGCTACGTTATTTGTTTCTCCATATCACTATCTTACTAATAATATCAGAGGAACTTATATGTAAGGTATAGTAGCGACGTCGGTGCAGTTACGAGGCGCGCCATTTCTCCAGATTGTTCATGTGACATGCGCCTCGACGACATCACAATAATTGGAGTGGAATTGTTGGAAGGGAATCCGCTCGCCATCAACTTGATCCAGCCCAGGGCTGATTTTATCAGGATAATTACCCTGATTTCAGAGTGATTTCAGGCTTTCCTCTTCGTGGAGAATGAAATTTCAGAGTTATTGAATTTTCAGCCCTGATCCAATCAGAGTAAAAGTTTAGCTATCCCTGATTTTGAGTACAGTGTAACAGACTAGGCTGTTAGTGGACCCTAACTTAACAGAGTATCGACTCTGTGGACCCTGACTTATCGAGAGGAAGTTTCTCGGAAGTTTTCTTCCGATGACCCCGCCTTGGATTGATCGCAGTGATCCCCCCACATGTGCGTAACCCCCCCCCCCCTCTCGCTTTATCGAGACAAAGTTTCTTCGAAACTTTGTTATGATACACCTACCATCGAGATCGCGCGAATCTGCAATGTCAGATATACTTTGCTGGGATTGGTCGAAATAGGCTCTGACAGCGGAAATATTTGACTCGAACAGGTGTGACTCGCCCGTTCGGTTGGTACACTCGTTCCAGGATGCACGCATCTGAGGGTGACTAACTACAGTCGCATGTCAGATTTATATGACATAGTTGTTGTAGGCTATAGTGGGGTAGCACATATGGGGTACAGGGTTTCTAGGGTTGTATTTGTACCCATCTTTCCTTAGTCATTTTCATCCCTGTTCGTTTATTCTCACATGGTATAGAGCGGGTCCTTCTACGGACCGGTTTTTTTTGGGCCCACCGAAGCGCCCCCTCGAGGCGCGATCCTTTTTTTTTAGCGACCCCTCGGGTCGCCATTTCCCCTACGGCCCCGCCGCCTTCACTGACGCGGCCCCGCCGCCCTCTCTGTCGCGGCTCGGCCGCCTGCTCTCACGCGGCCCCGCCCCGGCTCCTTCGCGGCCCCGCCGCCTGCTCTCGCGCGGCCCTGCCCCGGCTTCTACGCGGCCCCGCCCCGGCTTTCACGCGGCCCCGCCGACGGCTTCGTCGCGGCCCCGCCCAGGCCCTTACGCGGCTCCGCCGCCTGCTCTCACGCGGCCCCGCCCCGGCTCCTTCGCGGCCCCGCCGCCTGCTCTCACGCGGCCCCGCCCCGGCTTCTACGCGGCCCCGCCCCGGCTTTCACGCGGCCCCGCCGACGGCTTCGTCGCGGCCCCGCCCAGGCCCTTACGCGGCCCCGCCGCCTGCCCCCGTCGCGGCCCGGTCTCCTCCTGACGGCTCCTGCCGTCCCCCCTTCTACCGGCCCCGCAACTGCATCTGCTGGCCCCGCCGCTGCACCTACCGGCCCCCCACCACCCACCCCCCCTTTTCCCGTCGCCTGTCGAGGCGACCTGAGGGGGCCGCTTGCGGGAGAGGCCAGCAGAGGGGTGGCAGGTGTGTGGCCTCCCCTGCTTCTCCTCCTCCTTCATCTCCCACTGCAGCAGCCGAGCCGCTCACCTGCAGCAGCCGAGCCGCCCCACAGCCGAGCCGCCGGGTCGCTTAGCTGCTGAGCTGCAGTTGCTGCCGAGCCGCCCTGCCGCCGAGCCGCCAAGTCCCCGAGCTGCTGAGCTGCAGTTGCTGCTGAGCCGCCTTGCCGCCGAGCCGCCCGAGTCGCCCGAGCCGCCGAGCCGCCGAGCTGCCGAGCCGCTGAGTCGCCGAGCCTACTCTTCCCACCACTGGTGAGCTCTTGCCCTGCTAGCACACTGCGCGTCGCCTGCTTGCCTGCCTGCCTGCCTTTTGGCTTGCCTGGCTGCCTGCCTCCCTGCTGCTAGTCCTGCTCCTGCTTCTACTTGCGGAGCCAAATGCAGCCCCAGCGACGCCGGCGTGAGTCCCTCACGCCCCAGCAGCTGCGTGAGTGGTACGCTGGTTGGGGCTGTAGGGGTGGCGATGCTACTCCTACTACCACTCCTGCTGCTTCTACTCGTGGTGGCGGCCAGATGCAGCTCCTGCGACCCTCTCCCGTGTCTCTCACGCCTCGCCAGCTTCGTGAGTGGTACGCTCAGAGTGGAGGGTCTCTTAGTGCTGTTCGCTGCTCGTACGTGATTCGCACTGGTACTCGGACTGGTCAGCCTTGTGGGACACGTAGTCATACACCGTCCCGCTGCTTCGCCCGTCTGAGCGACGCCTGGCGTACCGTGTTTGGCGACGAGGCTGAGCTTCCCGACTGGGTGGAGTTGCTTAGGCAGAGGGTAGATATATATGCTCTTGACTATGATGCTATTCTCACTGCCATGTATGCATTGCCTACTAGTACTGACCGTGCCGGTCACCTGTGCGTCCCGCCTGACCCAGGTATAGGACCTGCTGCTCTAGCTACTGGTGA